TTAGTGACCATGCATCTTTTGCTGTAATAATTTTTTAAAAATATGTAAACATTCACTGTATTTGTCAGTCACACTGCTGTCTGTCCATCTGTCCATCCATCCATCCATCCATCCATCCATCTGTCCATCCATCCATCCATCCATCCATCCATCTGTCCATCCATCCATCCATCCATCCATCCATCCATCCATCCATCCATCCCTATGATGGGGCTGTAGTAACAACACACCATAAATGGAATGGCTTATAAGCAGCTGCAGTTTATTCCCACTGATCTGGTCACTGGTCTCTCAAGTCAAGGTGCTGGCTGGGTCACAGACACATGGTGTCTTCTTGCTGTGCCCGAGTCTGGAGGGGCACCAGGCAACTCTCTGTAGTCTCTTTTATAAAGGCCCTCGTGGCTTAACCCCTTCCCCAAGCCCCCTCCCTCTCCGTTCCTCCACCTTGGAGGTTAAGGCTTTAGCCTTCAAACTGGGGGGAATCCAGCTTCCAGCCTGCACTCTGTGAGGGCACTGTAAGCTCCAACACCCAAACGGGATCACGCTGACTGCCTGTTTCCTAACCTGCTTTCTAAACCTGGTATTTTGCATCTCTTTGCTGTGATGTTGTCTCCTCATAATGTCCTATTTAGGTGACTGCAGCTATCCAGCCAGCGTCCTGTTATCGGGCCAGTGGACAGTTGGTAGCCTGTCATTGTCCTATCTCACATGGGGATAACTTCCTAGCTACTTTACTGTGTGTCTTTCATGATTATAGATTTTTTGATAGATTAAAAACATAACCAAAACAGCCAGGCTTCCTCCTCAACAGTCTCTTGTGCGGGATGTAATCTTGCTCACGCTTGGAGGACCTCACAGAGGAGCAGACCCAGCTGGGAGGAGGCATGGGAAGTGTCCCTGAGCAGGAGGGCGTGGCCCCCAAAGCTGGTTCTCTGCAGGGACAGCACCTTTTTGCTGGTCTGGTCTATCTGGGTGCCCTAAGAGGTGCAGAATGAGTTGAGGTCTCCAGGGCTCAGTGACTAGAGCTGAATGTTGAAATAAGCTGTGACCTGAGTCACCCTTTAATTTGCATAGTTTCCATTAGCAATGGTAGCTTGAGGGCTGGAGGCTCTTGTAATCCACAAATGAGCCCCCAAACTCGAGTTCAAAATATGAGACAAAAACGTATTTTAAAAAGCAGCTCTGGTTTATTTTATCCTGGGCACAGCAACACAGTGCAGTTGGAGATTGCAAAAGCTATGTGTTGCTCCTCCCTACTTGCCGCCTTTAAGTACCTAACACAGTTTACAAAGTAAGGGGGTATGGGGTGGATCAAGAAAACTGCTTATGAGGAACACCTTTGTTTTCCTTAGCAGAGGCTAGTGATCTAGCAGTAATTAACATTCTGTGTCAGCTTATTCTAGCATCACATCTGTTACTTGTAGAGGGCAACAATAGTTAACATATCAATTAGGTAAGATTTTTAGGGATTTACAACTCTTTACAGAGGGGAGCATTGATTAACATATCAATTAGGTCACCCAGAGGGGGGAAAAATGCAACAGAACAGTAGGCCACATTACAATTATTTTGATATAATACAAATATAACAAAGCTCTTTTTGCTAGTGTACAACAGAGGCCAGGTGCTCTGTGGGTTTTGTCCCAAAGGCAAGTGTGCCAGCTTGAAGAGCTCAAGTGCTCTCTGCATTTTCAACTGACACTTTGGGCTTAGTGGGATGCAGTGTTATCGTAAGTCACGAGAACCCCTTGATCCCTCAAAGGCTCATGAAGGTGCTGGGACCACATTGCTGTGGGCAGGTGGCAGGTGGAGACAACTGGTGACTTGTTGGTGCTGGGAGATGGCAGGGAAAGCAGGGACAGAGGTGTCTCTTGATGGCCCGCCCATCACAGAGAGGAGAAAGACTTCCACCTTTTTTCCCCTTTAGTTCTGCCTCTATGCAAGCCAGCTTTGCCTGTGTGGGTCACTGCAAACTCTTGCGAGGTCATGCTGAGCCACACCTGCAAAGGACTGTTGGATATGTGGGTGCAGATTGTTGTTGACTGTGCTCCCTGCCCTGGGAAATGCCAGCTTGTTGGAGTCGAGCTTGTCTGTTCCCAGACCCAGGCCTCCATCCTTGCCCTCACCCGGGCAGAAGGATGAACTTTTGGTGGCCTCCAGGTCCTCCTCGCCATGGTCAGTGGCTTCTTGCTGTAGCTTAGACACTGACGTCCCTGGCAAGCCAAGGCCCCTCTGGTGGACACAACAGTTGATGTCTGGATGTGGGTGTAGAGGACTCGGGTGGCCTTGAGAGCTGTGATCTTGGTTATCAAAACCATGGCATGTCCTTTAGTCCCTGACCTGGCAGTGGGGAGGGCCCCAGGGACCCTGGGGGTCTTTGGGGGCAGTAGCAGCCAGGCGGGAAGCTCAGTGCCTTTGTATGTTACTTAACTTCCTGGGATGCTTTGGCTGGAACTCCCTGTGACCCTAATAGGCTTTTGAAAAAAATCATTATTATATTTTCAAAAGTATGCTTAACATAAATTTTACCATCTTAATCACTTGAAGTATACATTTCACTATAAAGTGCATAGTGAGCCCTGTAGGCCTGGTATCTCTGGATCCAAACATCTGTGGACAGAAGATATTTGGGGAAACCGCATCTGCACTGAACCTGTGTGAACTCCCCAACGAGTGTTCTTTGAGCCAGATTGCTACGGACAGCGCGTTAGTACCACGGTGGGGAGGCAGGCTGTCTGCAGGTGAGGTCCATAGCAAGGCTGGGTCATTTTCTCCTGAGACACTTGTGTATCCTGGGATTTAGGGAACCCCTCCCCTGTGGCTACAGCTCAAGACTGATGCTCAGGACAGTTTCCATTGAACTCCAGCTCTCCAATCCCCCTGCCCTGGTGGCCATCCCTGTGCCTCCTTTCTCTGTGATGGTCCCAACTCCTATATGGACGTGGGGCCACAGAGCGTCCACTCCTTTGTGATGGCCCCTTTATGTTTCGTCTGTGTCCAGCAGGCTCATCCATATCGTGGTCTGTCCCGGGGTCCTTGGTTTTAAAGCAGCATTGCTCCAGTCTGCATGGACACTCATAGTTTCTGACCACAGGGGCCTCTAGAGTCCTTGAGAGTTGGTCCCAGCTTCTATGGGTGGAGGTCATGGGTACAAGCTCTCCAGCCGTGGTTCCGTGAGTGCATGAATTTCCCTTAATCTCCCAGTCTGGTTGCAAAGCCAGGAGTGTCACTGCTGGTGGCTTTTCTGGGGTCCACTGCGGGTAACTGCACAGCCATATATGGTGGCTCAGGGCAAGGGACTCTGTCACTTCTGCAACCTACAGGCAGTTGTCACCCTGAATGTCACACTGGAGCAAGGCCAGGCTGGGGCAGGAACCAGGCTGTTGACACCGGGCCACTGGCCCAGGACTCAGCCATGGCCCATCCCAGAACCTGACAGAGAGCCCGGGTCCCCAGCCACACTCCTCTGGGGCCTTCAGCACGTGGCAGCCCAAGGTTGCGTGGACCCTTGCTGACCTCTCAGATGTGCCTGGTCACCTCCATTTGTCTCTTTCTGATACTCATTTATGATTAGAGTTCTATTTCTGAGTTTAGGGGCAATTCATGTTGGCTGTAGAAATGTGGGAAAAGATCTGAACAGATGCAGAGAGGAAATAAAAATCTTTGGTGGCCCCCACCCAAGAGGGACCCATCTTCAATACTCCAGTCTCCCCCTCCAGGCTTCTCCAGCAGGTACCCTTCGGAAGGGCATGCAGGGGCCAAGAGCCTGGGGATCCCCACCCTCAGGAAGGCTTCTGGCTCCAGGGTCTGGTGCCAGAGGGTGCAGTGACACATGCCCAGGCTGGTGGCCAGCCCAGTGTAGGGCCAGGGAGCAGGTCAGCACCCCATGCACTTGGCCTTGGCCACCTGTCTTGTGCTCCTCTTGGTGTCTGCTCCCTGCTGTGTGGCCATTGTGTCAAACTGAGGCACTTAGCCCTCCCCTGGCACCCAGGCCACTGAGGGCTGGTGTCCCCTCAACTGGTTGTCATGGTGATGAGAAGTGATGGTGGATAGTGGCTTCTTTTCACTCCAGAGCAGAAGCAGAATAATGAAAGACGGGAAAGATTCGCAAACAGTGCGCAGACCTGTCCTTGGGGAGGAGGATGGGGACATTCCAGCTGTCCCTGAAGGCTGAGCTCCAGAGGTGGCCCTGATCTGGGTGGCTTCAACAGCTCCATGGACTCTGGCTCATTTCTCTTGCCCTTGCCCCCAGAGTGGCTGCCAAGGGGATTCCACATCATGGCAGACAGGAGGCAGGCAGGAGGGGGCCTGGGACCTTGTTCTTAGTGCAGACCTGGACCCCAGATCAAGGCTGCCCGAGAGGCTGTGGTTGGGTAGGGGGTTGACCAGGGCACTGAGCCTGGCCATTGCCTCATTCTCAGATTTTGCTCCACCTAACCTCAAGGCCAGGCCACATCTAAGGGACCTGAGCAGCAGATGCTTAGGCCCAGACAGGTCAGTACTGGGTCCTGACAGCTTCTTAGAGACAGCAAAAGCTACCTTACAAATTGAAAGAAAATCGAACGTTTTCTTTACTGTAAAGGAGCTACGTCCTTTCTCTTGAGCTTTGCTTGGCTTCTTTAATCTGGGACCACCCACCCTCCTTTCATGGGGTCACTGACTCCTCTGTACATTTAGAGTACCCAGAAAGTGTCCCTCAGTGAGTGCTCGGGGAGGGTAGGATGCTTTTCGACACCTTGGTCCTCATGATCTGTGACACAGCGGTGCAGGCCTAGGTCCGGCCTGAATCCACAGGGCTGGGTTGAGGAGTGAGGTCAGCCAGGTCTCCTGGCACTGTGGGGACCTGTGGGGCCCTCAGCAGATCACTGGGGGTTCTGTAGGAATTTTGGGGGTCCTGAGCACTTCCTTCTCCCTCTAGCCTGGAAATGTAATCCACGTGCCATGCCCAGCCCTCAAACAGTGGTAGGACCCTGATGGGCTGTTGTCTCTCCCCGGTGCAGGTGGCCCACTCTGCTCCTGCTGTGTCCCGGACCCCATGGGACTGTCCTTCCTGCCCACCTACGGCTGCCAGAGCAACCGCACGGCCAGCGTGGCAGCTCTGCGCATGAAGGCCCGGGAGCACTCGGAGGCCGTGTTGCAGTCTGCCAACCTCCTGCCGCCCGCCAGCAGCAGCCCCGGCCCTGCCACCAAGCCCGCTCCCCCCGACGGTGGCCAGGACAAGACATCGTCTGTCAAGGACCAGAGCGAGGGCGAGCCGGGTGTATGAGCCGGCAGGGCCCCGCTGCTTCCGCCCCTCCTGCCCGCTGCTTCTCCCTGCCTTGGCCCTGGGGACCCTCGACAGCAAGGACAGCCTGCAGCCAGGCTCTGTGGGGGCCCAGGAGGGGAAATCAAGGCCGGCAACTCTCTGGGTGCTTGGAGAGTCCCTCTGGGGTCCCGCTGGTGGGCTGTGTTGTCCTGGCCTCTTAAGTGATAGGTCACCACGGGCCAAGGTGGCACTGGAGTGGCCTCTGGTGACACCCCTTAGAGGAAGGTAGATGGACTCACATCACCAGCCCTCCCTTCCCTTCCCAGACAGGTGTCCTTGGCCCCTTCTGTCAGCCGGATCTCAGGGCGTAGGCTGTCTCCCTGGTGTGCAATGGAGCAATCTGTCACATTGTTCGAAAACCATCACCAACTGTGCTTCCCTGGGCTGGGGAGAGAGCAGCAAGCCCGTTCTCCATGGGGAGTGTAGACTCAGGGTGGGCAGGACGGGGCGGGGTGGGCGGGAAAGGGCCCCGGAACACAGCCTTCTCTGGGTGCACAGTTCATGGCTCTCACAGGCAGAGCTGCCCCTGGCTCTGGAAGCCGCCCAGCTGACTCTGGGGCACAGAGCATGTTGAGCCCCCAGCACTGAAGCACCCTGCGGGCCACATCTGTCCCCTGAAAAGACCTGGAAGTGGGCAGGGGTGACTCACTGTAGACCAGCTGTCTGGCCCAGGAAAAGGGGAGACTGGAGTGAGCGGGAGCCCAGGACACCTCTGAAAGCTGCTGGCATCTGGTTCACCACCTTTCCTGGAATTCCCGGTGCCGCCTGTGGGAAGCTCGTTACAAGAGGGGAAGGAAATACAGTGATGGTGTCACAGTCACTGGCATGTGCAGAGATGGAGCCCAGGCAGGTGGCTTCCTCCTGGGCGCCGCGCATCCTTTCCAGGGGGCCGAGTGTCACGGAGGGTTCTGTTGCTGCCCAGCATGGCTGTCTTCTCTCGTGTGGATGATGACCTTGAAGACATCAAAGGGAAAAAGTGCAATAGCCTGAGCCCTGTCCTCGCCCGGTGCCCAGAGGGTCACAATCTGGTGGCTTTTGCTCATGGGGTTCCATTGCAAGCAGTTACTGCTTTCATGAAGGTCCTTTCCGTTCAGTTACAATCAGAAGGTTCTACGTTCACATCCCCCCCCCCTCCTTTTTCCCCTCCCCGGATCCTCTACACCCCATAATCCTCCTGAGTGTATCGTGCCTCGTCCATGATTCCTGCAAAGCTGTTGATAAAACACGTTGTCTCCTTTAAAAAAAAAAAAGTCAGCTCCTTCCTCCTGCTGTATTTTGCTTGTTGAGTACAGAGATGGAGCGATTTGCCAAAAAGCGGCAAAGTAGCTTCCGGTCCCTGTAATTACGAATGTTCGGTTGAGCAATGTAAGCTCCAGCCCTTATGCACACTAACTCTTCAATCTAATTGTTTGATTAAACTCGTATTTCCTCCAGAAAGGTACATAAATAAGTGAACTGTTGGGCAAATTAAGAATACTTAACAGCATTGCATCCGAAAAGTAGTTACGCTGATTAAATTTTGTGTCCTTGAGGACTTTCAGGAAATTACTTTTGATCGTCAATAACACAATTAAGTAAACTACACACACATTAGCATGAATAATTGATAAGAAATTATGTATTACCACGAAGCACTGATTTAATAATTCATGACGAGACACTCTAGTGACTGTGCAGAACTGGGTAACATCGGAAAAGTCTGCCTGATGTTTCGGAAAGGGAAAAGCAAGCCCCGGACCTCTACAGAGCTATGAGTACTTAGTTTTGGTGTACAAAGGCAAACAAAAGTAACCGATGCATGCTGTAGTTTCTGTTTGTTTAAATACCCAAATAAATATAGAGGAGTCCAGAGAGAGCCACGCAGCCCAGGTCCTGTCTTTGTTCTTTTGGCTGGGTGGGGTCTGTTCCTCCAGCGCCCAGTGTGCCGAGGGAAAGCTTTCGGAAACTTTCAGGTGGGGGGAACTTCGAGGCCTTGGCTCGGGAATCTTTTAGCAAGCCAGCAAGCCCTGCGCAAGCCAGCGCCCCACCCTCAGGCGACCTCGGCTGCAGGAGCCCGGCCTGTCTCCAAATGGGTGGACGTGGCCTCGCCAGACCCCTGGGCCCCTCCTCGGCCAAGGCTCCTTTTGAGAAGCCATCAGCAGGGTTCTGTGTGCCGCCTCCTCTGCAGAAGCTCACAGAGTGGCTGTATTTTTAAAAGGCAGCAGGGCTTCAGGCTGGGAAGGAGGCTCAGGCCCTCAGATGGAAGGATTGAGTAACTATTATTATTCATTTATTAGTTGGAGCACTCTGAGAATGCTTTTAATGTACTCCGGGCTCAGGCACAGCGGCCAGCATGGTTCAGGTGGGGGGCTGCCAGGGGAAGCAGCAGTGGGGGTGACAGGGTCTGTACTGGTGGGTCTCAGAGCTGCCCCCCAGCTGGGGGACACTGGAGGACTCACAGTGTTCCCCAGCTGGCACTTGTTTTAGGGACATCTGTGCCTGGGCTCTCAGCTGGCTGGGACGGGCTTCCTTCAAGCCTGCCACTGTCTCAAAGCCTGGGAATCAGCTCAGGTGATCTTGTTCAGTCCCATACTGCACATGCAGCTTGTGTGTCCCATATCAGAAAATCTGATGTCCAAAAGACTCCAAAATCCAAAACTTTTTAAGTGCTATCATGATGCCATAGCGGAAAGTTTCACACTGTGAAACTTAATATTCCATGCACAAAATACTTACAGACTCCTTCAGGCTGAGTATGTGTATGGAACATACATGAATTTTACGGGTAAGTTTGGGTCTTATCCCCATGATATCCCTTTCTATACGTGCAGACATTCCAGAATCCGGAATGTTCTGAAATCTGAAGCACTTCCGGTCCCAAGCATTTTGGGTAAGGGGAGGTCTGCAACTGTTTTTGTTTCACTGAGAGGGCAGCTGAGGTCAGGAGGGTTGGGCAGCCTTTCCCAACTTCCAACGTGAGGGAGCTCAACCCCATGCCAGCCACAGAGCCAGGGCCTCACACATGAACTGTTGGAATTAACCAGCTTGTCTCTAAGACCCCAGAGAGCAAAGAGACTGTGCAGGCCACTCGGTCCTGCATGACTGACAGATGCCAGGGTGTACCCATGTGCCCTCTGCCCGGGGCTCTGGGAGGGGAGAGCGTACCACCCAGAGCCCTGTCAGACCCGCTTGGTGCCTCTCTGCCTTGAGCGAGAGGCCTGACAGGGTGGTCAGCCTGGCCCATTTGGTCTTCCACTGGGCCAGTCCATCTGGCCTTCCAGTGTGTGTCCATCTGTCCCTGAGCAGGCCAAGTAACCACCAAAGAGATGGTGCCTGTCTAGCATTCCAGGCCCCTCAGATGGTTTTCCTAGACGGCCCATCATGAAGGGGCTGGAAATTCACCCAGCCCACTTAACAGAGAGCTCTGATGCTTCATCAAGAAAAGGGAAGCCTCTGTGGTGTTACTTTATTTTGTGATGCCAGGGATCCAATCCAGAGCCTCACGCATGCTAGCAAGTCCTCTACTGCGGACCATGTCCCTGTCCTGAAGGGAAGCTGACAAATTCAGAGATGGATGGAAGCAGGAATTATCTGCCTGTCTGAAATCCCATCTCTTAGGGCTGTGTGATTCCATACAAGTCACTAACCTGTCTGTGCTTGGGCTCTCTCTTACATAAGAGTGGCCGCCGCCTCCCAGGACCCCTCACAGGGTAAATGAATAGATAGATGCCTGGTGCCTGGTCCAGAGGAAGCTCAGAGTCATGGCTGGTTTAGTCCAACCAGCCTCACATACAGCAAAGCCTTGAAGACCCCAACCACACCACAGGAAAGACAGGATAGAGTCAAGGGGTTCCAGTTGACTGCTGGGCCAACTGCCTAAGGTTGGGGGGAACCTGTACACTATCTGAAGCTGATGGACCCTCCTTGGCCCACCCCTTTCCCCAGCCCTGCAGTGATGACCTCTGCTTCATCCTCCAGTGTAAGGCCCTAGGCTCTGTGTGGGCGGAGCTGGACACACCTTCTGGGGGAAGGAATGCCATTGGTTCAGCTGACAACGCCCATACTGCCTGTCCAATCACCTGGTGAGCCTGGGGAGGGGGGGAAGGTAGCTGAAGAGGGTGAGTTGGGCCCACTGCCATGTGAGTGGTCATTGTGTTCCCGGAAGACAGAGATGGGGAAGGACCCAGACTCTTCACTAAGAAAAGCAGCCACACAGCTCCATCCTGGGCCTCACGCGGGGACATGGCCAAGCAGTTTGTGTGGCAGCTGCTGTGGACTTGTGCATAGATGTACAAGGCTGAATGTGTCCACCACACTCCCAGCTCAGACCTGGGGCACATGAGCCGTGTTCACAGGGAAGACAAATCTCTCATCTCTGAGTTTGGACTCCAGGGACCCTGAACCTGGGCTATCTGGGAGAGGAGGACAATGTGCAGACTCGGGGCAGGCAGCGGGTTCTGCAGTCTGTGCCCGGGAGCAGTTCCCTCCTCCCTCCTGGCAAAGCAGGCTGGTGGGGGTCTGCGCCCCGTCCCAGCAGGAGGCAGTGTGAGGGGTGGGATCCTGCCCCTCTGCTGGGAGGGCATTATAGATCAGCCCTGTGCTCTGCCCAAATGGGGACAAACAAGGAAGCCACCTTTCTGAGCCACCTCTAGACAAACCAAGGGGTCTTGGTGGCAATCGGCAGCACCTACAGGCTCATCTCCGCACTCTGTCTGGATGGCTGGGACTTCAGCTGACCCTGCTCTGAGGTCTCTGGGCAGACGAGGCTCCTCTGGGCCCTCCTCTTCTGGGGCCTGGTCTGCCCTTCAGTGCTCCTCTCTCTGTGCTGGGTGCATGTCGCCAGCCCCCAAACAGTGACATCCCAACAGGGTTGCAGCAGCTACACGGAGCTGGGCTTCTCTGGGCCTCCATTCCATCTTTGATGGGGGTAACCCTGATGTCAGTGCACGAGGCCGTGGCAGTGACGCCTGTGACAGCAGGAGGACATGGTCACTGGCTGTGCCCTGCTGCCTGAGGCTGCCTCCTGCTGCCTCCTCCATGTGGCCTCGCTCTAGGGTTGGGAAGAGGCCTCCCCAGGAAGTGGATCTTGAAGACCCCACCCCTGCCCCCAGGGCTTTGCGAGCAGCCCCGCCCTCCCCCGGTCTTCTGGGGCAGGGAGAGTGGCTAAGTGATCCTGTAATGGCCACATCTGTCAGTGCTGGCCAAATGGCTTTTCCAGGAGGCAGAGGGCTAATGGTCCCGCAGCCTGGAGGAGCTGCTCCTAAGTGGAGCACTTTATCTGCGGGGACAGAAGCACGCACAGCTGGGACGGGAACAGCTGCTCGGCTCACCGCCCGGATGAGTGCCTGCCCCAGGCTGTCCTTGTACCTGCCCAGAGGGCAGCCCGCAGACTACAGCCTGAGGTGGCCAGCGCAGGAGTGGGGCCTGGCTGCGTGTCCCCAGA